CTGGAGTTGTTGGGTGACGGAGTTTGAGGGATCGTAGTTGGCGGATGACAGAAGTCGAAGGAGCCTTAGAGCAGTTGGGAGGTGGTTGACATAAGTTTGTCAGCGTTGATGCTTAGGTAAAACTCTATGATCCTTGAAGCCTTAGAGCTCTCTTCAATCTTTAACCTAAGGGTCCAAGTCCCCTTTATGTTGGAAGAGGGAGTTTATTTAGCAATTTTGAGAGTAATATGTCTCATAAATATGAAGAAGATATGGGGCAAATTCAGAGTGTTTCATTGAAATTACAAGAATCAAATTCGATCAATCTGCCTACCGGTATTTACAAATATCTAAATTAGAAGAGGGGTCTCTTGGTAGGAGAAATTATTACGTGTGGAATCTGGATCGAAACTGCATGTGGTTTTTATGAGTGTGCACAGTAAAAGCGTAGTGGTGAACAATAATTGTGCTTTTACTGCGCACACTCATAAAAAACAGACGTTTTTTCGGTCTGGACTCCACACGTAATAATCTCTAGCATATATTGAACTTTTTTTTTAAATATTAAGGTTGAAAACTACATTATCTTGGACTCATTCGATGGTTCGCATAGCGCCGCTTGATTTTACTGTACTTTATGTAAGATTTTAAGATTGTTTGATCATTCAATTAATGTTTTAAGTTTTTAATTATACTTTATGTCATGATCCGATCCGATATGACCTGATACCATACTGATTATATCGTGCCCCGATAGTGACAAGAACCAGAAACTGACTCAAAGATCCAGTTAGGGAAGTGTTGAGGAAAACTAAACTTCCAATTTATATAACACAAAGCCACTACTGAATACAATATAAAACGGAAAACTAAATCTTTGAAAAAAAAATTATATATCATCCAAAAATATATTTTTTAAGTTGAGGTCTATTATAGCAATGTTTAGAAACATAAAGTACAGCAAAATATAAAACTAACCAAAAAGATTTATCTACAACATATATCAAAGATTGATATCAACACTACTCACCTTAATCCTTACCATTTTTCTAACCTAAAAATGGAAGTAAAAGTCAGAATGAGCTAACACATCTAAATAGTCTCTCGTAGTCTAAAATATGAATCAATAACTCCAACCAAAAGAGCTGAAAAATATTGAATTAATAAATTGAAGTACTGAATTTAATAAACATTTAAATAACTATTGAAATTATTCTAAAGCTGATTGAAATATAACTAATCATTTTATTGTAATGATGAGAATGGTCATCTGAACCCAATTTTTCATATATAGCAATTAGCAGAATCGATTCTTGCTCCTTTTCTTACCGCCAACAGAATCCTTTCTTAAAAAATATATCCCTTAGGCTCCAGAATTTCTAATGTGTAACATAATATAATTCATTCTCGCTGTCAACAAAATCTTTTGTCACCAATAATTCAAATATTTTAATCACATATTCTTAAAATAAAATGCATTATACACTATTGAAACAATCACATAATTGTTTTACGAGTCTACAAAAATGTTCTAAGGGCTATCAAATAATTCTCAATCCAGTGTTCTATAGTTTGTCAAAGCTAAGTATTTAGAATTTTACTGCATTACCAGATATTGTGTGTAACATAATTTTGAGGTTTTAATTGAACTGAAGCACTATTTTCAGATGTCAAAATCATTTAAAAAAAAATTAAATTTTTTTAATAAAAAACCCCGCAGAATGAGCATACAAGTTAAAACAAAATAAGGATACAAGTCCTTAAAGAATCTAAAGCCCTCTAGAAATACATCATTTAAAGGAAAACCTATGAGCCATAGATTCAAACTAAAGACAGAATCAGACAAAAAAAGCTAAAAAATAGAAACACAAAGCAAAGGTAAATAAGGCTCAATCACACAACATAAGGAAAGACAACTGGAAACAAGTCAAACCAACACCAAACAAAATCAAATCAGCTCAAACATCCAAAAACTGCATCAGCATCAATGCCAGCACCAAAACAGCTCCCAAAAGCATCAATGCCAGCACCACAAAGACCAAAAAGAGCATCACTTCTTTTTAGAATTACGAGCTTTACGTTTTCCACTTTTTTTAAAAAATTTCGTTCTTGAAGCCAAATCACCCTCAAAAAAATCATCACCATCAGCTGAGGAATTGTCGGCATATAACCAGTCACCCCGCATCACCTCACTTTCCCTCGAAATGTGAGTATGCAAATCATCCTTGGAAACAAGGCTTAAAGGCACATTCAAAAGTGACTCTTCAAAACTTGATATAAAAATGACAAAAGAATGATTTGGCTTTCAAAGGGTTAAAGGCACATTCAAAAGTGACTTTGAAGAGCTCCCAAAAGAATAGTCTAATTATATAAAAAGGTAAAGGGGCTCCTATGTTTTATAGATCATTGGTTATAGAGATCTATCCAAATAGGAATCAAGATTTTTTCTTTACCAACTTGACCTTGTTGCGCCATATAACAAACATGCATGAACCATTTCTCGAAGGATGTGTCCAGATAGTCTAAAGTCTCGATAGTTCACTATAGGTCTTCTGGTTAAAAAACAACATCGATGAAGACGTACAGCGCACTATTATGTGGTGGGATTACAATTTTCCATGAATTTTTCATTGAGCATCATATGTTTATTCTTTGGATTGGTAGTAAACAAATTTAAATTTTGTTTGAGATAATTTTCTTATAATTTTACTTTTCAAATAATATCCATAATTTTTGTTTGACCACTATCTTTTTATTCCTTTAAAAAATATTGTGTACTAAAAAGTAGGTAGTCAGGTCAATACAAAGGAACTCATACCTGGCAGGCCCCGCAAGAGATTCACACAGGGTCTACAAAGCCTATCGCTTGGAAGCATTGGGAGAAGCCATCGCCCGAAAGAATAGAGAGAAGCCGTCGCCCTAAAGTTAGATTAAGGTTTTGTTTGAGACAGCTTTCTTCCTGCTTTATAAAATGACTATTTAGCATAAAAATTTTCGAAACAAATTCGAGTTTCGAAATTTGTATATTAAAAAGCAGCAAAAAAAACTATTATAAACGAAACGTAAATTTGTTTACACTGTCCATCACATATTGAGGTTTCATTTGGAACAACTTTTTTGCTTCTTAAAACTACTTTTAATTTTGGTGCTAAAAAATTGCTTTTTTTTAACACAGCTCACCTTATCATGTTGGTTGAGAGCTTAGGCTTCCAACTAGGAGGTATTAGATTCAAGCCTTTGTGTATGTGGTGTGTGTATGAGTTTGTCTTAAATGACCTAAATGTCCTAAAAAAATTACTTTAAGAAGCAACAATAAAGTCATCCCAAACAAAATCTAATTGTATAGCTTATCACGATGACAGAGTATAGGATGGAGCATGCGCTACCGTAGATATTTATTTTTGTGTTGAATTTGAAAATATAAAGGATTTTACATATTGGGCAACTTTTCCTTTTCTTTATCCTTTGCGTGTTGTGCACATGACAAGAAAGCTTACTTACATCGAGCCTTCGTCAGCCACTGCAGTTCGTAGTCAACTGTGGAATCTGGCTCCTAGAACCTCCATATTCTCCGCGGCCATTAGCTTAGGTCTATCGTTGAGAGGAAAATTAAAAAAATAAAAATAAATAAATAAATAACTTTTTTATTAAACTTATGAAGATCTTCTAACGTCATGTTTGCATTAGCTTTGATTCCAAGCTCCTTTGCGCATATAATAAGCATATGGCTTACGTTTGATCGATGTGATATATTTGTGATGAAATATGCTGAGTTCTCAACGCAAAGCGCGAAAAGTTATATTTTATTGCTTATGACTTGTTAGAATATATGCACTTGAAGGGCAAATTATTACGTCACGCTCGGATATCAATCCAGACGTGCCACATCGCCCAACTACATCGGGCTCCAATATATTTGAATAAAGTGGCGAGTCTAAATTGGATGTCCGGACGTCCGGTGACTGGACGTCATAATTCGCCTAGTTGAAGAGAGCTTATTTTCTTATGAAAATTTTATGCATATACGAACACAATAAATTGAGAGTAATTTATAGAAGAAACAAAAAGTTTTTACATGTAAAAAAAAAAAATCTAAAGATATAGTCTTATTGAAATGATTCAATTAGTATATGGTGTAGAACTATAGATTATAATTGTCATTCGTTGCACCAATTGAGGTTGACTTTGATACAATGTGACATTCTTGGCGGAAGTTTGTGGACTTTGTGGTATTGAGTTGTCTTCAAAAAAATTGTTGGTCATTTGTTCAATGAATTTTTTTATAGGAGAGGAGACGAGAAACTAAGAAATTTATGGTAAGTCGAGGGATCAACGTTAGACATCGAGGATTATAATGAACAATGTTGTTAACGTGTATCAATATTACTATTAACAATGTGTATTGGCTTTGTTGTTGACTAGAATATAATCGACAATAGAGTTAGAATTTTTCGTTTCAGGGGTAGTACGAATATTCAACACACAAACAAAAAGAACAAAAAACACCATAATTTTTATGTGCAAATCCTGAAAATAGGAAAACCACATGGTCACACTTAATTGAAATGATTTCACTAGTATTTAAATAAAATACAAGTGACTGACTCGTCCCTAAAATTGAGGACGTTTGATGGTCGGGCAAAAATTTATTCATGATCAGAGATTGGAAATCCGGCGACGATTGATGGTCAAGCGGAAATCCGACTTCAATTTACGATCGAGCAAAAGTCCGAGTCAGTCGACGGTCAGGTGAAGTCCGGCGTCAATTGACAGTCAGGCGGAAGTCTAGTGTCAGCCAGCGGTCAAACAAAAGTCCGACAGTGATCGATGAGAGCAACGATCAGTTACCATCAAAGCGTTGGAGGACGTGGGCTTCGACAGTTGCACAAAAACCCGCGAGAAGCAAACGTTCCTTCTCTCGGTCACTACCCCTCCATTTCCCGCTCTTAAAATCCTTAAATATTATTTTTTTAATTTAAGAAAATGTTATCAGTCATAGCCTCAAAATAAAAATCTCATTAAAAGAGAAAATAAGAAACATAACTGTGTATTACAGCTAATTTATAATATGGACACGTTTGCCATTATAAATAAATTAGTGGGGGTAAGATTGTCAATCAACATGTCACCGCCGCTTTAAAAGACCTAAAGCGGGAGCCATTAGATGCGAGTTCCTTGTGACTGAACGGCGAAACAAGTGAGGAGAAAGCGCAAAGAAGCACTCGGAGAACATGACGCCCAGCATCAACTGTGGGATTCCGGACGAGCGAAATCTGGAGAAGCAGATAGAGAGGCAAATGGGATGCATGACTGGATTTCTTCAGCTCTTCGATCGCCACCAGATCCTCGCCGGAAAGCGCTTGTACTCTGATAAGCGGATTTCTAGTTCTCCGGTAATCATTTTCGTGTTTGCTACAATGACTTTGTAAGGAACTTTTAGATTTGTCTGTGTAGTTGTATTATTGACACCTGCATTGTGGATTCATTCCAGACTTCAGACTCGCTGTCGCCGTCAGAGAGGTCCGATGTCTCTTCTTCATCTTTTGTTAAGGCAGCGCCACCATCGCCGTCTTCACCATCGCCGGCAGGTTTCCCTTCGTCACCGGAGAACCATCATCAGGCGAGGCCGTCACTACCGCTTCCGCTTCCCGTTTTCGAGGTGAAGGACGGGGTTAAAACCTCGTGGAAGCTACGGGAAGCTCCCCGGCTATCTCTTGATAGCCGCGCGGTCTTCGATGCTTGGGGAAAGCTCCGCCCCCGGGAGATCCGCACCACCCCTGTGGTGTTCTCCGGCGATCCATCCGATTGTTCGGATGCAGGGGATGATCACGACAAGCATCGGCGCTCCCCAAGTGTTGTTGCGCGATTAATGGGCCTCGATACGCTTCCAGTCGATTGCAATGAAGAGCAGCCTAAGAGATCCGAGCTCCGGCGATCCTCGTCGGAGTCCCGTGTTTCCCGAGATCATTGGCAGTTCAATTTTCAGAAACTTTCTCCAAACTCCTCCGAAGAGCTCTTCCAACCTCGGAAAGTTGATTACACCGAGCTTAGGCATCGAAACTCTAAGCCAGAACCTCCGCGTGCTCCGCCGGATCCGCTAAAGAGGAAGAGTTTCTTCGAGGCTCAGGATTTCTTCCCGGAGCCAAAGCGTACCGGATCCATGTACGAAGAGATAGAAAAGCGACTCAGGATGCGAGGCATTGAAGAGCCTGCAAAGGATCTGGAGACTCTGAAGCAAATTCTCGAAGCCCTACAGCTTAAGGGGCTTCTCCATTCCAAACTACCCGAGCTCTCTTCCGTAGGCAGCCTCGATGTCATCGACAACCACGAGTTACCCATCTCGGCCATCACTGAGTCTCCAATAATCCATAAAACGCTTACCCCTAAGCCCCCACCGAGATCAGCTGGCAGCGAGCGACTTCCCCTGCAACACAGGTCTGTCTCCCCTCGCCGCCCTGTACCGCCGGAGGTCATCCCTTCAGCAAAGTCTCGGCGGGACCCCGTCCGCAAGAAGCTCATGCGACCATCTGAACCGAACGAGTCGTCGAGGACCCCCATCAGCGCACCAGAGCGGCGGAGGTCTGTCAATGTCGAAGGGCAGAGGTCTTACCAGCCCGAGCGCCGGGTCCCATCCGTTCATTCCCCCGTAGCTAGCCCTAAGAAGCCAGGATTTGATCAAGTTGGATTACGATCACCAAGGATTCAGCGTCCGAAGCCGGAGATTTCTAAGGAACAGGTTCACTCGCTCGCCGAAGACGATGCCTTCAGCTTCTCCAACACAAGCACTCGTAGCCCCCCTTCTCAAATCGATTTCCAGGTATATTTACTCTTTTTCTCTTTTCCATTTCTCCTCATTATACGAAATAGAGTTCCCGCAGCTACTTGATTGATGATTTCATTACAATTCACGTTTTTACTGGCTGCAGAGAGCGACTACAGAGGAATTCAGAACTGGGCGTACTCTTTTGGAAAGGTGCGACAAGCTGCTGCACAGCATCGCGGCGATAACCTCCTCTGCGGAACAGGTTACCGCGATGGATCAGCAGCCGAGCCCCGTGTCGGTCCTCGACTCAAGTTTCCTATCCGAGGAGAACTCCGCCTCCTCTCTCCCGAAGCTCTCCATTGACTTCAAAGGTTTCTCTTAGCTCACATTATCTCAGTTTAATTCCATCTGGTTGCAACAGCGATTCTCGACGTTCACATCTATGGCTTTTCTTTCGCCAAGCTAGCGGAAATCAATCGTTTGATTTTTTTATTTTTTCGTGATTTATTTTGGGTGATAATATTGATTCCGGAAGCGGTTCGTATATTTTGCCTTCAGATCAAATAGAAGATTGGGAGGACCACCGGAAGCACAAGGCGACTCCGAGCGCCGGATCCGAATATTGGAATGGGCCCGAGAAGAAGATCGGTGCGGGCCAGGGCGATGATTATGCTTTCGTGGCTGACGTAGTCCGTGAAACCGACCGCTGTGGTGGTCCAGCCAACTTATTTTCTGCGCTCGAGCAGCGGCACCGGGTGTCCGGCTCCTCCGTCATCTCAGTTATCCATCGCCGGCATGTCTTCGACACAGTTACCGAGATAGTCGAGCGGAAGCGCAGTATAACCCCCTGGGTAGCCTTCATCTGCTCTCTCCCCACCGCCTTCGCCGGCAGTGAGAACTCGTTGCTCTTAGAGGTGTGGGAGGAGGTGCAGTGGCTTCGCGACCACGTCTCAACGGAGAATGTGATGGAACTAACTGGACAGGTAATAAAGCAGGACATGGCGATGACCGCTCCCGGAGAGCAAAACTGGACGGTGCCGGGAGCTGAGTTGTCTGCCGCTGTACTCCACATCGAACGGCAGTTATTCAAGGATCTGGTTGCCGATACCATCCGGGAGCTGGCGGATATGTCTTGCAGACGCCGAGCCACCACCCTCCCCCGCCGGAAGCTCATATTTTGAATTTCCCGCCATATCTGAAATACCAAAACCTGTGTTTAAAAGGTTTTAATTTTTTTCTCTTGGAAAGAAGCATGGTGTCATGTTTTCCCCCCAAAAAAAAAAGGCATGGTGTCATGCGCCTGTAACAATTTTTCTCTTTGGAGCTTTATATAGGAAGCAAGCGACCATGACCAGTGTCATCGCCTGTCACTGTAGCATTTAAATTTAGCCGGAGTAAAACCGTAGTGGCCATGGCCTACAGTGTCATGCTTGCGGCTAAGGAAGTAAGAAATGTGGAGCCTCGACAGGACAGGCAGACCTGTACCGCCATCACATGGCCGTCGCTATAGGATGATGTGAGACTCTACCCAACAGTGTCTCGGCAGCCATATTTGAACATCTCACGGGCTGTAACGAACAGGCATATGCGGATGCAGCCCCGGAAGGGCGCACGGTGCACCCACCTTTCCGGCCGTCCTTGGTGGCATTTTTTTTGCTTTGAATGGAGATGCCCCGGTCTAGCTGCAGCATTAATTTGTCCTTCCGATTATTTCTGAATTGTTACTATATGTGTCCAGGCCGGGCTTGACTCAAGCCAGGCCTGGCTTGCGAGAAAGGGCAGGGGCCCGGCCTGCTTGCTCAGCCTGTCTCATAATTCCTTTTTCATGCCCATCTTTGACTAAATACCCCACCGTTCCCATCCTTATATACTGGACCCCTGTCCGGGAAGATTTGTATTCTATGTAGAAAAAAAAAAGGAATCATGAGGAATATAACTGCTACACTACCTAAAAAAATTGAAACAAATTAGCATGTATGTATGTAAATTAAGGGCTGCAAACGAACCGAATTGAGCCATGAGTATGCGAGTGTTTATTGTTTGAGTTCGTTTATTATTAGCTTGTTCAAGTTCGGTTCGTGTTTGATTCGAGCTTTATTATTTGTGTTCTTGTTTGGTTCGTTTAAATTAACGGTGTTCATGTTTGATTCATGTTCTGTATATGTTCGATTTGTTTAGTGTTTATCGAGCTTTAAACAATAAGTCTTAACGAGCTATGTTCGTGAACATATTTAGTGAATTTTTTTACCATATCAAACAAGCATGTTCATAAACAAATTTAATGAGTATTCTTGAGCTATGAAATGAGTAAGATGATGAATATATACATAACTAGTATTTTTGAGCTACCAAATGACCTCGTTCACGAACAAGCGATCTTTGATTCATTTTATATTTGTTCATGAACATCTTAAATGAACAATGTAGCAAACATTGACAAATGTAAAATGTCGTTTGTTCATGAACAAATTCATTTTATTGAATGTATAAAATTAAATTAAATTCAATTTAAAATAAAAGCAATTGTCTATTTAAAATGACAATATGATTAATCTATATCAATATATTTATCGAGCTTATTCACGAGTTCTAAATCAAACACGAGTCAAGCTTTTATCGAGCTTCTTCACGAGCTTCAAATGATGTTGTTCGTGAGCATAAATGGACCGAACAAATTAGTGTTCAAACTTTTTTATTTAAGGATTGAGTATTAAAAATATTGTTCATGTTTGTTTATTTAATTATTTAAACAATCACAAACGAGCTTTAATCGAACCAAGCAATGAATAACTTGTCAAACGTTTGATTCGCTTGCCGCCCTATTTAAATATGTAAATAGCATGAAATAAAGTTGTATGTATATAAATCCCCCATTTAAAAAAAATAAAAACAAAATCTGCCAAAATTTAACATCAAAAATAAACCGAAATGAATTGATCATATTATATACTGTATCTGAGTTTTTCAAATAATTAATGAAACACCCTTTTGACTTCCTTTTGACTTCCAAGTAAATTTCTCATCTCATGGAACAATTATTACGTCCTCCGACCGGACGTAGAGGAACGTCCGGTCGGAGGCCAAATCCCGCCAAAAAATGAGTTGTACCGAGCAATACCAAACAATAATGAAGAATACCATCATTTGAAGACCCATTACCGAGTTATACCGAGCTAAACCGAGAAATACCGAGTTATACAAAAGTTGTACCGAGTTTTTCCTAGAAAGACTCGGTACAACTCGGTATTTCTCGGTACAGCTCGGTATTTCTCGGTACAGCTTGGTATTGGTCTTCAAAGAGCGGTATTCCTCGTTAATATCAAATAATATCTAGTTGTACCAAGCAAATACCAATTTTTTTGGCGGAATCTTGCTACCAACCGGACGTTCCTCTATGTCCTCACACCGGACGTAATAAAAGTTCCATCTCATGTGGCCGCCTGGCTTTGTTACAATAAATCTCGAGAAAATTAGATGCAAAACTGGGACCTGTGTTGCTAACACCGATGGCCATAGGGACCATGCTTCAATTTCATTTCTGCCTATTTTATTAAAGCACAGAAGAGGATTGGAATGCGTGTCCTGCTAATCATGGCAATGTGTTAAATGGTAGTAAAAATTAGCTGATTGTACTTAAAAGACTCTTTAAGTCTTCTGCATAAATTTTAACTAGCTTAGCATATAGTTATTTATTGTTCTATACGTTGTTGATAGAAACGGATGGCAGAAAACTTAAGGCTTGTTGCTGTAAGATTTATTGCTTGATATAAATGTTGCTGCTTTTTTAGCTTTGTAAATTACTATGCTGATATAAGAACGAAGAATTTTTTTTTTTTTCTCTTTTTTGAAGAGATTGAAGAATTTAAAAATATGATTTTTTAAGAGGCAGCTTCTCATTTCAGGTTGATTAAGGTTTTATTTGAGAAGGTTTTTTTATTGTTTCTTAAAATGGAGTTTTATTATTTTTAAGATTTTGTTTGGAACGGTTTTCTTACTACTACTTAAAGCAATTTTTTTAGTATTTAAATTTAAATTTTTATACTAGAAAATAACTTTAAGAAACAATTAGAAAGTAGTCTCAAACGAAGCCTAATTTTTTAATTAAAACTCTATTTTAAAAAGCTATAAAAAAACCTTAGGCTTAAGTTTGGGGAGCTTTTATTCTGTACGGACACCGGACGGGAGAATCATTCGATTAAGCATTGGTTATCCAGCGGTACCGAGTGCGGGTACCGAGCTGGGTACCCACCAATGAGATGACGTGACGCATTTTTATTGGTCTCCGAATGCCCTCCGCACTCCGCACAGAATAATAAATCTACTTTGGGGCAGCTTTTTTGCTATTTTATAAAACTTCTTTTTAGTACAAAAATTTCTAATTCAAAAAATTTTGTATTAGAAAGTTGTTTTAGAAGGCAATAAAAAAGTTGTTCGAAACGAAGCCTAAGATTTTGTTTGGGCCGACTTTCTTATTGCTTCTTAAAACTGCTTTTTAGTATAAAATTTTTAATTTTTTACTAAAAAATTACTTTAAGAAGCTTAAACAAAGCCGTCACAAACGGAGCCTAAATCTAAAACCTGGTCATTAAACTTTGGCATTTGTTGATTTCAACTAGTGTGGATTTTTATAAGCTTTGCATTCTCAAGATGCGATTGCATTGATAAACCTGCCTTCAGCTGCTTATGATGATTGTAAACATTTTTCTAACTTGGCAATGGATTTGAGAGTAATTATGATGGCTTTGAGCTGGTTTTTTGCAGTGATTTATTGAAGACTTGATCAGCCTAGCCTGAGCTATGCCAAAGCCATGTTATCATCATATAAATAAACCTTTATAACATCATCTTGTACATTAATTATGTTCTAGACTTCATTAATGCTTTCATGGTATATAGGTAACTTTGAAGCCAAAATCCACAAGCTTTATATTTTTGTTGCCACATATTCATATCTCTAGTTTTGAGATTCAACATGCTAGAGTACCACTGATTAGTTGGAATCTTATGGATAGAGAGCCATATATTGCGAGATGTGATATAGAGTTGGTGTGAAAAAGTAGACCTAGATTAGGTCAACTACTGCCACAATTACATAAAGATGTGGGATCATATATGTTCATACTGTTAAGCCTTCCACATTACGGTGAAATTCAACATACTACATTATAATATTTTAGTTACATAGATCATGGGCTTTCTTTTAACTTTTTAATACATCCACAAATCCTCCAAGCAGGTGCCATCATAGGGCACTATAGGTGATGATTAGTATTATATGTCATCATAGATTAATTTAGTTACCTATTATGTTTATTTTAATCAAAATGTAACAAGGCTATTTGTTTAATGTAAGGAACATTTCCATTCATTCTTTGAAAGCAATGTTAATATCAAACAACTTGCAATCAATAATAAGATAGAATCAATGGTCGATGAACAATGCATTTATAAGGCTCTATATTCAAGGATAAAACCAAGGTAGCTAAACATTTATAATGATTCATTCATATTTTTCAATCCATGCCCACTGACATTAAGACACCCCAAGTCCATCCCCCCAAGGACATTCATATAGAAACTAACTCAAGATCTATATGAACTTGCTATTGAACTTATTAAGTGGGATAGGCATATGCAATCAATTGACTTGGATGAGGTTTTGATGAGAATACGCAGAAGAAATCTAAACAAATAAATGTAGAAGGGTGATTCTAGAGTTAGGTGAGGAAGATGTGTCTTGAAATTACTTTGTATAAAGTCACATTAAATGATATTAGATCATATTTCAAAAGATTGAGTGAACTTTAAATTAACAATAACAACAATCAAAGTGACTAAAGAGCTTATTAGCTCCACAACTTTTATAAAGATATTGTTGCGAGATTGGAAATCTGATGATAAATTCTTAATGAGAAAATAAAAATGAATTAAAAAAAAAAGTTTGGCAACCAACAAAGAATCAAAAGTGTGCAATATGTTTCATGAATTTACTTAGCATAAAGTCGCATTAAATGAGATTAGATCTTCATAAGTTTAAGTGAACTATAAATTAACAACAACAACAATCATGGTGACTGAAGAACTTAAATGCCCCACAAATTTTATGAATATATCATTGCAAGATTGAAAATCATTTTATGACAAATTCTTTAAAAATATGCATTGTATACTTTGATTTTAATAGATGTCATATTTCATAATCTTCATTCTAGCATAATTACATGCAATAAAAATAAATAATTTTAAATAAACTTGAAATAATTAAGAAATATTATATCTTTGCGTCAAGAAAAACATATTTTATGTGTCATAAAATGTCCTTCAATTTTTCTTCATACAAAAATGGCATATTCGTCTGTTAACTAAAAAACTATTTATATCATATTCCTTCTAAAAGTTTGGATTTTTTCTTTTCATTAGCTGTTGGACTTTGGATGTTTTTGTTTAGTGGGATAAAGGCTTGATGTTGTTGTTGTTGTTGTTGTATTAGCTGTTGGACTTTGGATGTTTTTGTTTCTACAGGGGTTTTTATATTTGGCTCTATGTTTGGATTTATTTTGCCTTTGCTTATTCAAGTGTATGTGGGCACTTGTTTTTTTGTTGTTGTTATACTCTATTTCTTTCTAGTTCTTTGATTGTTTTTGGTAACTCAATCGTACTTCAGTCTTGTTTTATAGAATAATTGGTTAGGGGACCGCCAAACGCAAGAGAAAATAGAAAGAAGAGAAAGTTCTATAGAAATTTTCATATATGTATGTAAAAGTTGGGTTAAATGCCTTTGCAAGCAAAATTTTTTGGTTTCTTCAAGAGAAAATAAATCTAGCACTCATCTTTATCATAATTGATTGCATGTTTTCTCCATTCAAAAAAATTAATTTTTTATTAATATCTCTAATTTATATGAAGTATATTTTATATATATCAGTGTCCATCTCAGTTGTTAAACTTAATCTGTATTAGGATGCTTACAACCGTGTGATGCTCTAGTCATCTTCTATAAAGTATTGCTGTAGGCTGTAATAGAAACAGAGGAAAAAGCATAAGGAAAAGTATTGTAGATTGTATTCTTATTTTGTGTTATATGTATTTTGTTTTCTCAT